CTGTATCCCAATGTCGTCAACATCCCAAAGTCACCAATCTCTCTCTCTCTCTCTCTCTCTCTCTCTCTCTCTCTCTCTCTCTCTCATAGTCTGCCAGATAGCTAGGAGTCAGGTAGCGAGAGGGTGAGGGAGAGATGAACAGGCCTAAAAGTGGCCTGCGCTGATCCCTGGTCTGGCGCCTAAGTTTCAGGGAAGGTTGACTTTATGAGGGCCTGAAAATGGCCCTCCTTTTCAGGCTTTTAGGTTGAAACGACACAGGGCCCTTATTTTCCGTCTGGTCGGGCGCTGCAGGCCCGTGTGGATGCGCAGTATGCCACACTCGTACTGGAAACCGGGTCCAGTGTTTTTTTTTTTAAAGCCCAGGGTGTTGTAGATGCCATGGACCAGACCTGTGGTGATTGCTGGCAGCGGCAGCCAATGGTTGTCCTGACAGAGGATAGGCCACCTACCCTACCCATCTCCACGTTAAAGCACCGGCCCCTTATTTTCCGTCTGGTCGGGCCCTGCAGGCCCGTGTGGATGCGCAGTATGCCACACTCGTACTGGAAACCGGGTCCAGTGTTTTTCTTTTGAAAGCCCAGGGTGTTGTAGATGCCATGGACCAGACCCGTGGTGATTGCTGGCAGCGGCAGCCAATGGTTGTCCTGACAGAGGATAGGCCACCTACCCTACCCATCCCCACGTTAAAGCACTAGTACACCACACATCGGCCTGCGGGTGTCAGCACGAAACCCGCACCACTTCGGAGGCCGCCATTTTTTTTTTTTCAACGGCGCCCCACGCCGCGTTGCCCCTCTTAACTTGTCAAAAATCATTATGCATAACGTTCATTTTGAATTGAATGTCATGCATGATATGTACCATTTACCCACCCATTCGGGTGGGGTTTTGCTTGTGGCGACAAAAACTTTCTGCAAGGCTGGGGCCGTGCACTTGCGGTTTAATACTCCCAGCGCAACCCCTGTCCAGTGTTCCTTACTCCTTCCGGAACTGCGTGCTATTCTAAAACAACCATCAACTGAAAGGCCATAGGCCTAGACAAGAAAGGAACAAGGGTTTTTCCAATCACAATGAACTGAGATGGACTACTCCTATCCGGGAACATTACAGAGATTCGAATGGTTCACCGGTTCCACAGTATGCTCTCATCTTTTTCATTTTCATTTGAGATTGAGTCTGCAGTGCGCTTCAGGTGTGTTAGGTCCATATTGGACTTAGGTTCTCTACATGTGCTGGTAAGTACGTCAGTAATCAACGTAAATACAGAGAAGACGTTGCTTCGTGCCTTGACGGACTACTCCGACCCGGGAACATTACCCGGTTTCGCTTAAAATCATCACACCAGTGGGTGTGGACTCAGCCATCTGCGTACTTCCAGTTCCCCTTCCTGAGAGATTGAAGCCAGCTGGCCCTGGTTGGCCATGGTCTTGAGGAACCACAGTGAGCTTTTTCTCTGCCAGTCCGCAATTATGGTAAGCCGGATTTGAGTTACAATTTGAGCCTTCAGCTCTTCCAGATGAGTAGGCTCTTCCTTGACAATTCCTCTCCGTGTGGCATATGACAAAACAGCTTGTACTCTTTGTAGCTGGCAGTGCCAGCCATTTTGGTCCCATAGCCCCACGCCACCAGAAGTTGTGGATTATACACTCGCTTTTTTTCCCTACTGTGTGTGCAACTGGCTAGATGACCAAATAGTACTCTCTTCCTGTGCTAGTGCTGCTGATAAGAGCAGACAGCACTAGCACTGGAGAGCCAAACTATTCTACCTGAAGTCAGATTTCTTGTATGATATATGGGACGCTGGACCCGGTTTCCTGAAGTCAGATTTGTTTTGCGATATATGCGACGCTGGCCCTGGTTTCCAGCAGGTCTTGCTCCCCACCAATGGACTGGAGCTGGCAGCAGGCTACTAGGTGGAGGTGCTCCTATCACTCCATCTAGCACACTGAGGCAGACTCCAAATAATAATAATAATATAATAATAATAATAATCATAATAATAATAATAATAATAATATAATCAGACTGCACTTGCACTTCAAACTTGCTTTCAGCATGCACACAAGAGAATTGATGGAAAACGTCCCCAAAAGAGAGACAGGTGCCCCTTTTTACAAGCACTAGCTTTTTTTCAATCAAAGCATTAAGAGAATTTATGGCAAAACCAAACTCGTCAACTCAGAATCAACAATGAACTTGCACTTAAACTCTGTTCAAAACAGCTGTACAACTTGCGACTATGGCCGCTGAACACTGTCTCCACCACCAGCCTCAGTCTCCCTCATGCACGCATGTACGAGAGTCACCCTGAGTGTCCACGCTACACATACACACACACTCTGTACACTAACAGCTGGGCGGCTATGGCCCCCGTCGTCTTCCTCCTTCCGCTATGGCTGCCGTCGTCTTCCTCACTGGCAAGCTATGGCCGCTGTCTTGCTCACTGCCCACTTCCTCTTCGGGCACCTGCAGACCTCCACACACAAGTCACCAACTTCAGCATGGCTCACAGGTGAATAAACGAATGGCTGGACGCCGCCTCTTTATTTATACTTCACCGGAGGTGGCTGGGTCCTGCCTCAAAACGCATCGGCCTGGGCCAAAACGAGTGAGCCCTGGGTCCGGAAACTTCCCAAACCGCGTGGGGCCCGGGCCTGGAAGCTTCCAGGCCACGAAAGCCTGGCAGCCCCAACGCGTAGGCCTTCTGGGCCAAAACGCGTGGGCTGCTAGGCCCCAAAACACGTTTTTCTGAAGTCTTCTCCAGAACGAGTGGGCCTCCCTGTTCCCCACGTGCAGCCCCTTCCTTTGCTACTTGCTGACTGGACTGGAATCCACAGACCAACAGACAGACTTCTAGAATCCACAGACCAACAGACAGACTCTAGGCCCACAGTAGACTTAGGTAGTCTTCTAGAACAGACCCTTTCTAAGCTAATTGTGACGGACTTAAGTACTAACCTACAGACCTAGGGCTCAAGTCCCAACTTCCCTACCTACAGACTAACCTACGACACAGGATAGGTTGAGGGTTCAAATCTCACCGGGTAGATGTACAGGGCACAGGCACAGGTCTAGGGATCGAATCTCACTCAGCACACAGGGTTAGTGTACAGGGTTCGGGCACAGGTCTAGGGATCGAATCTCTGTGTCTGCAAATGTCGGGTTAACTGGGTGAACCCGTTTCACCACAAATTACTAATTAGCCAAATTACCAAGAAAAATAGTTCCAACTTCCAAGACACAAGGGGATTAAAAATAAAATGAAAAAAAAATAGAAGAAAAAAGAAAAGAAAAGAGATAAATCTGTGTGTTTTGACAGGATGATCTAATCGCATGAGTTGCGTCAAAATCTACAGCAGTGTGCACTGTGCAAAGTGCATACTGCAAAATTACATCTCTTAGCCAGCAGTTCTCCTCAATGGGCCCGCTATATAAATCACTCCTTTTTCACATCTAAGAGTACTATGCCGAAAACCGAGTTTCAGTTTTCAAAACGATGCAAACCAAAATACAACAGAACCAAAAATGAACCAGAGAGAACCGTTCACTAATTTAAAGCAGATCACCAGAAGAACAGCATGTCTGTGATAAAGGTTCATTGAGTTTGTCATCGCCGTTACACTAAACTGACAGTGTCACGATGTTTGAACCTGCCACGGATGTACATGATGCATTTCAATGGGGTCGTTCAACGTCGCCTGAGATGATGTTCACAACACCACACACACACACACACACAGAGAGAGAGAGAGAGAGAG